ATTTAAAAGTTGTATTTTTTAAACACTTATGTGTGCTTGTAGCTGGGGTTTTTTTTCTTCAAAATTTACTGGCGCCTTTTGTTGGGGGTGGGGGAGTTGTTTTTTTTTTTGTTACTATGCTGGTAGTGGTAGTGGCAGGTGTTTGTAATATAAAATACCGCTGGCGTGTGTCTGTATGGGGGGGGGGGGTGGGGTGTCGGTATGGGGGTGGAGGTGTAAAATAAAATACTGCTGGAGTGTGTCTAGATGGGGGTGGGGAATAATTTTAGCTTCTCTCGACTCGTATTCTACAATATCCAGCTTCGCGTGCTAAGTGTATAACACAAAACACATGGTCAGAGCTAGGATGGTGCATCACTTCTCACACACTACCTGTCTATTACTGTGAGACGGTCCGGGCTATGTTTGCACCATTTAACTTTAAAAGTAGATGTCAGTACACTATGCGGCATGATTAAGGGCGTCATTTGGGTACAATGAGGCTTGGGGTGGTCCTTATTTAGTGTTTAAATTCCGTTAAAATGTTACCTGTATAGATTTAAGTGTCGCTACTTAACTAGATAATGTGGGACGGCGTGGTCGGATGGTAGCGCATACGACTAACACGAAAATATGGAGTAGTAACCCGGGTTCGTGACAGTTGAACGTCACTGAGTCCACTCAGCTCTGATGAGTACCCGACTCAGGTAAAGGCGGCTGAGGATAGCCCTGACAAAACTATTCTTTCCTGCTCCGTGATAGTCGGGTTGGAAAAGATACTTTACAAACGAGACGAGTTTCATGCTGTAAGATCCTGGTTTTCATGCTGTAAGATCGCAGGACAACCTATTCAACAAAGATTGTAGTAGGCCTACATTATTAGGGCGGGCATTAGGTCTATACAGTGGTGGGATACAGATATTGATTCAAAAATGGATCGCTAGGTGTGAAATAACACACCATCCATCTAACCCTTTACAACCACGACCACAGAGTACATGTACTGTAACAAAAGATTTGTGGTCGTCTAACAAACCCCCCCCCCCCGCTCAGCTTTATGGAACAGCTGCTCACTATGATCTTTTTGTTTAAAGAAGACACGTTTGGATGGGCCAGATATCAAGTCGCGTGTACGAAATTAGATCTAGAACTTACCCGACTGGAAAAAAATGAGCAATGAAATAAAATAATATTGACGTTTGAGAATAATACCGTACAACATTAAACCATAATGCGGAGACTAAATACGTCATTGATTGTACCTGGACCGTTACTGGCGACCAGAGTTTCTTCCAGGCGTCTCTTCAGCCCCCCCCCCCCCCACCCCCGAAGAAAGTCTACCGCCCCCCGAACGAAATGGAATTTATATAGAAAATATATACTTTTAAAAGTGTCGTCCCCCCCCCCCCCCCCGGGAGAAAAAAGTCTGGAAGAAACTGCTGACGACTACCTGACGACCAAAAAATGTAACTGACCCTTAAGAGTTACTAAGAGGGCTGGCCATCTAAAAGTATACGTGTACGACTATTTTAAAATGAGTGGTAGATCTAGCTATGGTTGGCATATTCCGGCGAGCCTGATTCAAAGACTAGCAGAGTTTGACGCTATGGATCAGTGATCATGTATACAACTCCTATCCCGAATTTTACGCCAATCCTAACCATAAAAACAGTTTTTCTGATTTGGAATAAAATAAACTGCGCCTTACAACATTCTAGTGGATTTTTAAAATATATATTTACTTTCAGAAAGAAAAAAAAAGAAATGGAGATATCAGTTTATCAACATCGTGATGTATAACTCAACTCACAAACATTGGTTATGATAGATATAGCTGCTCAAGACAACACACACAGACATACACACCACTGCAGCATTAACCCAGCGTGTAAAACAGATACGGCACACCTCCAACATCTGGCTAACACACGACACACGTTGTAGCGAGCACGTAACATCTTAGAAATGTACGCCAACCTTCAAACAAAACATCGATAGTCATTAGAAACTTACCTTGTAAACTTGTAAGCGTCTGCTAGATCCAGTTAAAAACCACGTGGGGAAAAAAACCACAGCTCAAACATGAGACAAAGCCGATACACAAGTTTAGAAGTGACCCGTACCGAAGGATTAAAAAAAAATGTGTCACTTGCGTCGTATTAACGATAACTGTAAAACCTAGTATTGCTCAGATAGTGATTTGTTGGGGTGAAACTAAAAAAGTATGTCAGGGCAATAAACCGGCCTTGTCACCAGTGTAAGCAGCTAGTGAATGGGCGAGACGGCGGCTCGCGCTATGCAAGCGGTCCCAGCTTGTCCAACAGGTGGTAAACACTTGGGGGGAAAAAAACAACTAAAATCGACATCTCATCTCGATGTTATCTCATCAACGGATAGACAATTACTTTATCAACGATAAAGACGATATAGAAGTTAGACTTCTTATTGTTAAAAGTTTTGAGAAAGGGAGGGGTGTCGATAAAGGATAAGTAGCGTAGCAAGGGGAATGAGGACATCACGACAGGTAAAACTATTTGTTTCAAGGGGGGGGGGGGGAATTAATGACAGATGCGTAACAGGCGGCTAATATCCCCGTGACGCCACCGCAAAGAACTTCTACAGGGTGGGATTAACAATTAAGCAATATAAGCACGTGCTTAGTGCATAGTGGGAAGGGGGTGGGGGCACCACAAAAATTAGCTAAGTTAATTAAAAATCTAACGCAAGAGAACAACAAAAAAGACGGGACAATTGATTTTTTTTTCTTAATATAGATGAAGATGCTAAAGTGCAAAATTAGTTTTATAAGATTTCGTCATCCAGTTTGTAATTTAAAAAAAAATTCTAATACTGTCGATTATTTCTTTTATAGGGAATGTTTTTTAAGAAGAGGGGGGGGGGGGACCCTGAAAGTTTTGTGGGTGCTTCTTCTTCTTCTTCTTCGTTCTTAATTTTTTGTGTTGGGAGGGATCCAGCTTTATCTGCCAGAGGGTTTGAAATCGAGATTTTTTTCGAATTTATCAACCATGAGCTTTGCCGACTCGACCATGCTTCCATCACAATTAAGGATTACGTGTCAACTGGTTATGCGCCATTGAGGCCATTGACTCCGATTTCAGCCTGCTTTTCTTTTTGGATTTGCTTCCATAGCCTTTGTCCAACCAAGAACAAACTACAAGGAGGCAGTTGTTTGATTTTGGAGTTGTCTCTCCTAGAAGGAGTGGCTGTCCCCAGCTAACGAGCCTCATCTGCCTGAGAACATCTGATATTCAAGACATCTCCAGACTTTTGAGAAAATTTTCAATTCTCCTGGATTGAAAATTCAGTAATAAGAAAGTAATGTTTGTTGGATTTAATTGGACTTTGAAGAATCACATTTAACAGCCTTGAGAGCTCCTGGTCACCTAACCACTAGCGGGTGCGTCATGTTTGTTTAGTCAATGATTATAGTAGGCCATCATATCCATATATACAGTAGTGCTCATGGGGGAGCCTTGGATGCTCCAGTTACGCAACAACAGGGTACTGGCTGATGTGGATGCTAATGGCCCTCATGAGTATTAATCCACTCCTGCACGTAACATATCGCAGATACAAAGGAAAGATTCAAAATGAAAAATAAAATTAATTAATTTTTTGTTCTGTAACAGTAACAATGACAGTGGGGGGGGGGGGGGGTATGACTTTTCGTGACATTTAGAAATGACAGGGGGTTTGGAGGAAGGGGAAAACATTTTTTTTACTTTGAATGGCGTGGCGTAATTTATGGACTAACCATATACGCGCAATTGAAAATTTCAACCTTTCATTAAGCACAATGAGCAAAAACTGAAAACCGAATCTTTGGCATAGACCTAGATCTACTCCCAGCTCCAAAACACCTGTCTTCGAGACTCCATCCAACGGTGAGTTGGGTTGTCTAGTCTACACACCTAGTGATTGCCAGTGAAACCATCAGGCGAGCATACCAAGACTAAATACAACGGTGAGTTGGGTTGTCTAGTCTACACGCCCAGTGATTGCCAGTGAAAGTGAAACCATCAGGCGTGCATACTAAGACTGCAGGGCGCGCATGTTTTCATACACACCGCACCAGTTCCGGGGAGGCGTCGGTTACATAAAGGAAATCATTGACAGAACACCAAACAAGCCAAGCTAGCTTTCTTTAACAACCTGTGTCTGTGTATCTTCAAACCACCCCCCCCCCCCCCATACACACACACGTTCTTTATCCTGGAAATGAATGTTTCTTTTTTTATGTATAAATACTTTTTCCTTGTCTGCTGGTGTATAAAAAAATACCCATCAGTATCACTGAGGATAGAAGGGGAGGGGAGAGGGAAGTGAATTACCTGTAATTAAATACATTTTCGTTATCAGTCAGGGTAATTAGCATTCATTGTGAGCTGTAGCGTTTAAGTGTATAATTAAACCTAGATGTAATGTGATTGAACTATTCATTCATCATTAAAAAAACAACCTCATATAATATAAGTATTAAAAACTAACTTTGGGATTTCCCAATTTATTTCCAGATCTTAAAAATGGGTTGGGCTACTTGCTCATTAAACATGTTCATGTTAACTAAGTCTTTCAAACAAGTAATCTAATTTTGTTACCTCAAATATTATTTGGTTATTTTAACCTACAAAATCCCTTTTGACAGTAATTTATTCACCTGGTAGGCCTAAGGTAAACAAATGATAAAATGGGTTGAGAGACAGCACTTAACATCAAGGCTAGTGAACAATACATAGACAAAGTGGAAACAGCTTTGAATAATACTTTGTTACAAGGAAAGCACTTCATCAGTAATTCCTACTCTGGTGTATAATACAGTAAAATCCCTATCAAGATCTAATCACAGATGAAGTAGCTTTGACCTAATCCCATAAAGGGACTGTGGGGTTATCACAATGTCCAGCCATATTTAAGTCAGGCCACCCATCAGAGCTATGTGGACTCAGTGATGTCATACTCACTCTTGTCCTTAAGGACACTATCATAGGTATGAGCTTTCAATTGGGGGACACTGAGGACTGCCAAAACCTGACAGGGGGTGGGGCTAGGTAGGAATGTGGGGGAAGAGAAAGACTATAAAAGGTCACCAGTTTGAACACAACTTTTAATATGCTTTAATTAGTGATTAGTGATTATATTTGTTTAAATGTTTAGGTTAACTTTTACACAAATAATTAGTGGGAAAGGAAGGGGATGGTTAAAGAGTGAGAATTTATTTTGGACCCTGGGTTTCTTTCTAACAATTTTCAGGGTGCACTTGATTCTTCCTGGGGGGTTGAGACTGGTTAAAGTATTTTCAATATTAATAATACATTCTTACTATTTTATCTGGGAAGTGGTGAACTTGGGAGGGGATCAGTGTTTTTCTTAGGCATTCATCTCTAACGGAGGGGCTATACCCCCCCTCCCCCAACCCCCCTGAAATGCCTGAAAGCAACTCTCCTTTGACCCAGTCACAATGTGGATTTGATCCAATTCTGCCAAGCTCTTTAAGTTGAATTTTTCTTTTTAAGTGCGGACCAGGTACAGCAACATAAAGTGAGATAATTAAAATGTAACAGGTGAAACAGAAACCTTTAAATCTCAGCACCATGTGTTTGCTGCTTACTAAATCTCAGCATCTTAATCCAGCTAAATCAGCTTTAAAAACCTCAATCAAAATACAATTCAGCTGCACGTTAAATTACTGACGCAGGCAGACTTTTGGAAATTAAATTTTAAAAATGCTAGGAAAAGCTATTTAAAAGTGTCTAGAAAAACTTGTCTTAAATTTTTAACTTCTGGATAGAGAGGCAAGACTGAATGATTTATTTTAACGGTTTCAAGGTGCAAGCTACCATCTTGGGGTAAATTTGTTTATGAAGGAATATTTTTAATAGACCCTAAGAATTGGGTCGAAACGTCCATAGTACTTGTAACTGTCTTTAACTTGTGAGGTAACTAATACTATCTGTTTTGTTACTAATTACATTAACCTCACTGCAGCTACCATTTGTTTTTTTATCTTTACCCTAAGAATTTAGAAGTTGAATACATCTTTTCTTGTAATTCAGCACACCTATGTAAAGATAATAATAAAAGAATAAAGCTGACAGTGGCCTTTATTTCCCTGATTGGTATCAGGTATGAGGTACCCTGTAAGTATTGACCTATTTAATATTTATAGCTCAGGTGTCACCCAGTTTAGAGCCAGAAATCAAGGCTTTAGTTTGGCAAACATATATTTTATATTGGCAGTCTATGAGTCTAGTTCTAGATTTCTACACATGTCAATCATAAAGCAACATTTTAATCTAAAATAATATAAAAATTGGCCAATCATTTTCAGACTCAATTTGATTTAGAATTAATGTGTCATTTGACATTTAGGCTAAGTCAAGTTTATATTAAGATTTAAGATCTAGATCTACTATCTAGATCTAGAAGTCAGTCTTTAGCCCATTAACAAGGATTAAAGCTAGTTTTAAAATCTAGATCCTCATGTATTAATGTCTGTCTATGTAATACTATGTATCTATGTAGATCTAGATCTACTAGGCCTATAGTCTATCAGCATGTGTGATTTCGTCATCACACGCCCTCACACGTCAAGCTCAAGCAAGAAAAAAAAAACACGAGCATGCTCAACTATAAAAACAACATGGTCCACAATATTGTCTGTTGTAGCATTACATTATTAAAGTAGAGGTTTGAAAACGTTTAAAGTCACGAAAGATTATAAATTTTTGTAAAACTGACTTACGTGGTCAAGATCTGTAAAGGCTAAAACATCGGTAACTGTATTATAATCAAGCTGTAGTCTGTATGATGAAAAAACTAAATAGGCGCCATTCTATTTTTTTTTCTCAATCAGACTCAGGGACGGTAATGCAAAAAAATATTATTATCGAGGGCTATACGAGTTTTCTCTCGTGTTGGCGGTTCATGTGGCCGTACATTCACTAAAAGATTCAGTGAATAAAATGGTCTATAAAATTTTGCAATTCCTTCCGTTCCCATATTACTGACAGCTCCGAAATCGTGCAAACTTGAATGAGCCATGTAGTTTTGAAAGGAAAAATTAACTATAGGCTTCAAGAAACATTTGTATTGAGCTAATTAGGTCATTTAGATACAATATTTTATGTATTGATTTTTTTTTCAGAGTAGGTTCAATAAAACTATCATTTGGTCCAGTCGAAATTATATAGGTTTGACAAAGTTAAAGTTCACTTTCTTTGTCTACAAGGTAAATTATACTAATAGACCAGTTTCAAATTCTAATTAGACAAGGATTTCAACAGGAAACATTGGTCAAAGTAGTGCTAACTACCAGAGCAACTATTTTTATTTTTTTTTGTAAGTTTTTTTGTTGTTTTTTTTTTTGTTTAATAAAACTGCTTCATAAAGTAGATATAAAGAAAAACCAATAGCCAATGTAAGATATTTTATAATAATTTATTTATTTCTTCATTGCATTTCATTCATTTAGTCAGAATCTTTACATTAAATAAATTTAAAATCTTCATTAGATGAAAAAAATAAAGAATTCAAACATGAAATCACAAAAGAAAAATGTCTACATATTATTAGGAGGTACCCACAGTTATTTTTTTGAATTACTAAGTCAAAACAATAAAAACTAAAAAAAACCATAAGATGATGTACAGGAATTAAACGAGAAGCAACATTTTAGAACTCGAGAATATTTTACTATTTTAATAAAAATATATTAACCATACCACCATTCAAATAAAGAAATCAATTTATGGCACATATACTTAATACTTCAATAGCTCTTACATGTAGTGTTTTAGGGATATTTTAAAAGTAAAAAAATATTTGTCTAATGTCATACTTTCAGTATATGTAAAACAAAGAAATCAGTCACCATAAAAAATGTTACTCCATGAAGGTTATAAAAGTAAAAATAGATAAAACAGGAAACACTTGGATTTAAATTCCAGGGAGTATTTACAAAACAAATCATACCCTGATTACAATATTTTAGTAACAAGTGAGAATATGATGTAACAATATCTAACTGATGGGAATGTGAAAAATCTAACAAAATGACATGAGGTCAAAAGTATTATGCACGAGATTCTACTTTAGGATAACATGTTTTGTCATGCTTTGCATTGAGCGTAAAGTGAAACAAATTCAAGTATAACAATTTAATATAATAAAACCTTTATAAAAGGAAAATGGCAAAAGAGTATTGTCCTCACTCTGAAGTTCAATCTAGGTCTTTTTTTTTTCTGCTTCCATTAAATGAGTCTTAAACATTAACTTCACAAAAAATATGATATTGAAACCTGGTAAAATTAGACAATATTTAAAACAAATTCTGACCTGTAGGCCTATATAAATATCACCCGTTTTATGTACTCGACTATATACTTTAAAAAACACAACAAAAACTTGTAAAAAATGTGTTATTTCATTAACGTGTGATGATATATAATTGATTTCAATAAATTAATTTAGCAATATTTGAGTGACACAGGATTCTATTTACAAATTGCCATGTAAACAGCATTTTAAAATATATTAAAACTACTGTAGTAACCCAATAATAGAAGAACAAATATACATTACAAATAATGCCCTCTAGACAGAAAGAATAATCTTGTTCTTGTCAAAATATTATCATGGGATTAATTAAAAACATAAAAGTTCTCAAAATAATTCTGATATGTAATAATAAATACATGACTTAATGTGCTGTGTGACATATAATTCAGCTGGAAACAATGTTCTTTGTAAAAGTGTTAACAATTTTTAAAAAAAAATGAAATTTATAAATTAATTTATTTTGTGGAACCTTAAAAATGGATAAAATAATTCAACTCATTTCTACTTGCGTCTACCACACACATCCCAAGATTCAACTTCCTCTACACCCTGAGGTAATGGACGACGGTGAGTTTCTGGCATAGCTGTGACCATAATGCCTCCTATGATTGATACTGAACCAAACAAAATCATAGGAAGTTCTGGAATTGATTTAGCCTGGAAAAAGAATTTTTTTCTTAATGCTAAAGAAAATTAAAGAATTATTTACAATAGTTTGAGTGCTACGTTAAACCCTTTTGCTGACCATAATGAGAAGGTTTATTCTTAAAAGATGACAAGTAAGTCTTGTTATGACTATGACAGGATGAGATAGTGTTGTAATCATGCATCACATATTGCAAAGATAAAACGTTCGCTGTACTACAGCAGCCAAAGTTAAGTTAAAAATAATTCAAGTGATAGTTAAATCTGCGTTTCTAGAATTTTTTCTTTTTTCTTTTTCTGATGAAGATTTAATGAATTGCTTTGCTATCTAAACAATTAGATAGACAGAGCAGAGAACGAGAAATAATGGCAGCCAATTGGTAAAATGTTAGAGCCATGACTGGGTTTACATGTAGCACCAAAAACAAAATTAACCCCAGTAAAAGGATTAAATATGAATTTTTTAAAGGCATAAAACATGACTTACAGAGAAAACAATAAATGGTGCTGCTATACTGCCGAAGTTTTCAAAGAAAGATGAAACACCCATGGCCAGATTTCTGTAGTAAAGTAAAAATATACAACCAGTGAAATATAAAGTAAAAATACAAAACCAGTGAAATATAAAGTAAAAATATACAACCAGAGAATATGAAGCAAAGAAATGATAATTTAATGATCATTTAAAAGTTATACCATTACAGGATTGACAACTTACCTTAGAGAAGTGGGAAATATCTCAGCAGAATACAGATACACTGTTGTGTATGCGCCAGTTATGGCAAATTTGCCAATCATTACAAATGCTATTCTGAGATCATTCAGCCCATCCGCTGAAATAAATATACAGACCTATGTGTACACAACTGGTAAAAATAGCACATGATTTATTAATTGAGTGGGATATCTCAGAAAAATACTTACATGCCTTCTCTGATATAAGCATAGCTGTTATATTCATCAGCCCACATGTTAACAGGAACACACAGAGTGGCACTTTACGACCAATTCTGAGGAATATATAAAAACAATCAAAGTAAGAAACGGTATGCCTACTACAGCAGTTTTGGAAATAGGAGGCGCAAACTAGTGCCAGTGGTGGTTGAAATGTTTAACAGGAATGTAATATTTATATAAATTAATGTATTCAGTATAATTTATACAGTATGTCATTTGGGTAAAAAATATTTTTATGGGATGAGAGGGGGGTGATAACACAAATTTTGTAAACAGCTGGATGAGAGAATGATGGATTTAGATTTAAATTCAATATTAATTGTTGACACTTTTAACCTTCACCGTACGTTGTGGGTGTAATCCACCCAATGTCATTTTTAAATGGATTTATATATGGGCTGTTAAAAACACTACCCCCACAAAGTGTGTGGAAAATATCAGGTGACAAAATAAAGAAGTAAATGTAAAACTTTAAGTTTTAAACATCTACTTATGACTGCTAAAATAACTGGGAAATCAAGGGACAATATTTTAATAGTTTTGGCATTGTGTAAGTTGAACTGTTTTTGAAGTTTTAGGCCCAATTTCACCCCTGAAATGATGATGTCCAGTTCCAGCTAGCTACCCCCTAATAACCAATAAATGAAATTGTAATGAAAATCAACATTTTGTTTAGCATCTCTATTTTTAAAAAGTACAAAAAGCTACATTTCTTCAAATATAATTATCTAGACTTTTATATAAAATATCTCCATAGTTTTCCTCAATATAAATGTATATGAATGGATTTCACCAATGAAAAGCTGGTAAATCACTGCATATGGTGAGTGGTAATCTTACCGTTCACATATAAATACACAAATGATGTAAGCTGGTATCTCCACTGCACCCAGAAGAAAAAGATTGAAAAATGGATTGCCATGTAAAACAGGAGTACTCAGAGAGATTCCAAAGTAGCTGAGACTGTTCCCAAAACTGGAATTTTAAAAAAATAAAAATAATGTAGCATTCTCATTTTAAATTTATTTAGAGGCTAAACATAATACCTTCCAGTAAATATATATCTTTCTATAACATTTTTATAAAGTACATTATTTCACAGTTGAGACATAAAACAATTTTACAAAGTAAAAATATATTTGATAAAATACTAATTTTAAAATGACCACCTAGGTTTTAATTTAACTTAACAAATAAACTAAAAAAGAAACTACTTACAAAAGATAGAAAATAATGAAAGAATACAATCTAAATCTTGGACTTTGACACAACAGCAACACACTATTTCTGTTTTCAGAGTTCTTTTGTTTTTCCTCATCCCCAACCAATGGAGATACTGGACTTATAACTTTTGTCTCCACTTCCTCAGATAGAGCGGCACATTCTGTGGAAGTTTTGTGCACTACGCTGCAGTAGGTTTCTTCAGCTGTTTCATTGTTTTCACTATTGGATTTAAGAGACTCAAGAGATGAAAGTTCACCAGCCAGTAAGGTGTCAGCTTCCTCCTGGGTTATAATTCCAGACAACATTGGCTGCTCGCTATACTGAGTTGATGCTACCGGCTCTAACTCCCTCTCATGATGTATGGCTTCATACAGGCAGATGTCATTAGGGACATCAATTTTGTTGTAACTTGATATCCTTTTCACAACTGACTGGGCTTGGGTTAGTTTGTCCTGAGAGATTAACCATGGTAGAGACTCTGGTAGAAACCTAGAGAACAGTCAGGTTTTAAAACATGTTTCAAACTTGGTTTAACAGGGGACAGTAAAACGCAACACGTAAGTCCATAAGGTGTCATTCAGTTTACCCAACTCTGATAGGCCTAGCTGTCTCATGTTAGGGAAACAAATACAGCTGGGTGTAGTACTGAGAACAGTATTCCTTTATATAGTCAGAGAAACAGGGGAACACTACTTCATCATAAGGTCATGGACAGCCAGATATGAACATGTAATTATTAATTTATATTAAAACGCATTGTGTATTTATTTGAGTGGTAACAGTAAATAAATTAGAATCTTCAATCAGGAAATGGATCTTATAACAACCTCAATACTGCCTTGTCTGACAACATGTCAGTCTGTAAAGAGTAGGTCACAGGTTATTATACATTTTAACAAAAACTACACACCACCATTCAGTAAGAAAAATACTGAGACATGATTTACATAGCATTAATAATACTTACCAAACTAACACAGCACATGGTATATTTGGAAGAGAGAAAACCAACTGAAGATGTCGCCAATCTCGAACTAAAAAACCAAATAAAGCAGTCAGCATAATGCCAAAGGCCCAAAATATCTGGAAGCCACAGCAAGGAATTGTACGTTGAGAAGCTGGGAATATCTCTGTCATCATCACATATGTGCTCAAAGCTATACCCTATAGATAAAAATAGAAGCATTATTAGATTTGATTTACAATTATTTTATTCAATAGCTTTTAATTTTATAAGATTTACATTAAATATTAATTTATGAATACAAATTTCTATTCCTAGGTCAAAATAGAAAAGGATTGTAAATAGAGTAAAAATCATGAAAATATAACAAGAGAACTTCAATGCCTCTCTTACACAGTATTAAGTTTATATCTATCTTTAAAAACAACTTAAATTTGGCATATTCTGAATATTTCCTTTAAGGAGTTTAAGAATACCCCATCTAGACAGCAAGATAAATAAAGCAACTGAAAAAAAAACCACTTCAGGAGATTATTTCCCCTTGATATACAAAGTCAATTCAAACATGGAAAAACAGAGTTCCTCAGATCAATTGTTAAAGTAATTATGTTACATAAACAGCTTCAATTAAAGCTACTTACCATGTTAAAAAATCCAACAATAAACCGCAGGGTAGTAAAAACAGCATAATTAGGAGATGCAGCAACGCAGGCCCCCATCACAGCTTGTGACAACAGGCAAACAAGAAGGACCAAGCGGCGCCCAAACCTGTCAGACAGAGGGGATATAAGCAATGCCCCGCACATTGACCCTATCAAATATAGGGTTGTAGAGAGTTCAGAAAGATAGGCCCTCACACACACAAGATCCCACTGGAAGAATAAAAAGTAATTCATTTTACATATTAATAACAATATTTAAGTAGTAAAAATTATAACAAGTTTTGAATAACATAATTTTCTTTTTTTAATTTAGACAAAATAAAAATATTTGATTTGATCTGCATTCATTTTATAGCAACAGATGTGTAAAATTGAATTAAGAAGTTAATTTTACCTCTGAAACAATGGTTGATACAAATTCACTACTATAAACCCATGCATAAGTGCAAGGGACTGTAACATTAGTACTGCTGTTTAGAGCAACAATGACATCACATTCTCTGGAGTATAACACTGAGCTCTGTTGTATGAAAGACATGTTTACACTTGAATTAATGTAACTATTTCCATTATTGTATGCAACACCAGTCCGAATTTGCCTGTTAGAATCACAGCTATGTCCTGATTCAGCTGCTAAAAAAATGACACCGAATACATTCCAAGCACCTCTTGCATAAATAATACCAAGACAAACATATGCTAGGACTTGGAATTTTAGCCTTGATGCTAGTTTTAGCTGAAGTTTGTCTACATCCATTTTGAGAAAACAACCTGAAATTAAAAAGATATTTTGAAATTTAATTTATTTGGCATTATCAGTCTGTTATGTAGTTTATTACCTATATTATAAGCACTACACATAGGCCCAGCTTTAATTAATTAAAACTTAAAGATCAAACTAGTAGTAAAGTTCCCTTTTAGTTCTTAGAACCGAGCGGTCCATGGGACAAGTGAGTAGAGTTTCTGTGACCTTGGCATATGAAGAGTGTGATCAGCATTATTCCCAGTCACCTTTACTAATGTGAGTTAGATATGCAACTATGCAAGACTAGCAGTAGGCCTAACTACATTTAAAATTAAAGTTACCATCAATTTTTATTGTAAGTTTATGAGTAAAAAATAAGTTGGTTAAAGTGATTAAATTAATTAAATCATTAAAAGCAGGAATTCCCTTTGGGACTTTCAAAGTAAACACTTTATTTAGGACCCTACTATTTAGTATTTACTAGTATTTAGTAATATTTAGCCTAATTTTTAATATATTATTATTATCCAAATCCATCAATGACATTTAATGGGCAAAAAACAAATTATAGGCCTATAATAATTGTTAATGGATCTTGATTCTTGCCCATATTATTAACTAGTCGGATGATTATTCAAGTTGGAGAGGATGATGAAATTTTATTTTCTAACCCCTTGAAGTAAAAAAAAAAATCTCTGGGTCCGCGTTAAAGTTAAGACATGTCATGATGTAAAGTAAATTATGTAACAAGAGAGTAAAGTAGGGTAAAGTCTACTAAAGTGTGTGTAAAGTAAAGTAAAGGAGCCTATGTCTATGACTTATAAAGCCGGGATAAAATTTTAGATCTTTAGGCAAAATTACAAATTGTAATTAGATCTAATCTACTAATTACTAACTAATTAGAATAGTTCAATAGGCCTATAGTATAGGCCCTATAGTGCCCTATACGTATAGATTATAATTATAGATTCTAGTTTTAATGTTTAAAATAAATTTAGGTCAGTCTGTATAAAATTAATGACTGTAAGTTATTTGGGATCGAAATTATTGGTAGAGATGTAGATCTAACGAAGATCTACATACGACATACGTAAATAGACTGTGTGAATAGATCTAATTCACATCACAGTATTAGTCTTCTAACACACCGATAAGAGAATTTCTACACACATGTACTGAAGCCTGTCTTTACTGTCCCACTTATGCTTTTTAATTTAACAGAGGACAAGAGGTCAATGTAAAATAAGAATTTTTAGATCTAGATCTAGTAGTAGTTAGACAAGATCTAATTTTTAACAAGAAACGGCCAGGCTGGAAAATACTGAATGTATTAGATTCTTAATCTGTAGACGAATTAGATTTAGTATTTATGCATAAAAAAACGTTAGAATTTTTTAAATTTGATATTTTGTGCATTATTTTTAAAACATAAGATCGGTCTAGATCTAAAAATCTAGATCTAGATCTAAATAATAAATATTCGATTTTATTCGGTAATAGTCGATTCGTTCGTGTAACTTTTTAGTATATTTTTAAAGGAAGTTAGATTAGCTACGTTATTCTCTAAATAAAGTAGGCGGAAGCTGACTAAATTTCACAATAAAACTGAGATCTAGATTAGAATCTAGTTGTTAGATCTACTAGACTCTAGGCTAGACCTAATTGATAGAGACTTCAATTGGATAATCAGGTTACAGACTAGAAAAGAGGTTGTTTTTTATTGTTTGTGTAAGTTTATAATATTAAAGTAGCTTCTTGTTTGTTAGACATTGTATGATTGTTGACAAGATCTATGATTTCATATCGCACTCACTGGAGGCCAGTGTTGATGTCGAGAATCCTTCACTGGGCTTTCACCCTTCCACTTTATATTACTTTACTCAAACTTTACTGTATTTACTACTTATTTAGTAGTAATTACTAACTAGGGCTTTATTAGGCCTATAAGTCTTAATGTTGTGGACATGGACAAAAAAAATTTCGTCAATTTTAAAATATTTTTTTACATTTTGACTTTATAGCGGCTGTAAAAAATAGTAAGAACTTAGCCTGACCTTAAGGGCTAATAGTGGGCTAATACTAATAAGCTTAAAAATATTTCATCAATTTAATACAAATATTACGCCTATTATTGGTAATATATCTAGCCTATGTATCGTTTTAGGTACGTAAAATTGGCAGAGGCTGGCAATGTTCCCTCTAAGCTGCGCGGCCGCGCAGTCATTTTGTAAAGTAATTTTACCCTTATATATATAAGACTTTAAGAACAGCGCACACAGAAAAAATACATTTTGCACACTAACTTTTCCCCCTTAGTTAGAGGGAACATTGGAGGCTGGTAATGTGAAAGAAAGGTGACTCATTGACAATACATACATGGCTTTATAATTTATCTATGCAATTTTCTCATCACGTACCTTTGTTTAAACAAATCATATTCATTTTTTTAATAGTGTGTTTAATTCAGAATAAGAAATTAATAGCAGTCCTTTAAGGAGTTTAAGCCTTTCCCTTTTAGAAACTTTCTTTTAGAAAGTGCTATGAATTAAAAGACCTGCCAAAAGATGGATAGTGTTGTATTATTTGAATATGTTACTTTTCAATCTTTATGTTTTTAAAAAGTTATAAATTCAAGCTCACCAGTATGATCATTTTAGATAATGATAATAAGGATACACATACATTTATAAAGCCTTTAAATTTCTTTGTTGGCCAACACTTTATTTGATGCTTTCTATTTCAGTGTCTGTGGTTTGCTAAATTGATAAGATGAGGACTGCTATTTACTGCCTTGTTGTGGGATTGTTGTGTGTTTGTTCATTAGCACAAGACGCAAGCACAACCACAACTACCACAGTGACCACCACATCTACTGAAAAGCCTATCACCACTTCTGCTGAAAAAGCAACTACGACACTTAAATCTACAACTGTTAAACCTGAAGATGGTAAAAGATTTAAGCTAATGTCTTTCTTTTTCAATCATCTTTGGTTACCACCATTATTTTTTTAGAAACTAATATTCAGACCAACATAATGTTATTTTTACCATTATTATTTTATATTGATTTAAGCTTTATATTGCTAATTCTTTTTTCATCACCTTATTTTAGAATGTACCAAAAACAATGGCTCTTGTGACAAATGTGTAGAAAATGCTAAGGTAACTACACTTAATGTTCAGCATGCTAATTTTTTGTGGTGATTAAACATTTTTTATGGAAATTAGAGCCTGCTCACCAATAATTTATTATTTGAATAACATTTATCATTCAGAAGCTAATTTTACAATAAATGCAATGTACTTCTACCAATACAGTGTATGTACTGCTATAGCAATGATGCCTGCATGTTTTACCCAACTGGAAAAGTTCTTCCACCATCTTCTTACTGTGCATTGGATAAAGCTAGATGGGGAGTGTGCTGGTGTAAGTTAATAATAAAAATGAATTACGCTTTTTTATCAGCATAACTATTTCGATTAATTATTATTTTAATATAAAATATTTGCTTTTTTTTTGACTGCCTTAAAACAATAAATCTTTGTTCCATACATATCAACATAAAGCATAGCATAATGTGAACATTAACTGAGTATAATGCGGTAGTTTCTCCCCATCAGAACGTGTTTGCTGTCAATTTTTAAAGAAATATTTTTTCTTCTAGTGAACTTTGAAGCTCTGATAATATCAATGAGTATTATTGGTGGGCTCATCCTTATCACAATTGTGTCCTGCTGTATCTACTGCTGCTGCTGCCGAGGTGGAAACAAAAAGAAGTAATTGTTTCATTATAACCAGTAGTTGTTTTAGTTGTTGTTTAAAAGTGTATCCCCTGGTAATGAATGCCATCTGTTTGAAATGTGTATGAGAATTATATCATGATTGATCTTCTACTTGCAGATATGACAAAGAAGATGGGAAGTTTGAGTCGCAGAAAATGGAAAGAAAAGCAAAGCAAGAGGAGAGAAGATCAGAGAGAAAAGGTCGACTGGATGAAATCAGGCGGAAATATGGTAAGTTTTTTTATACACAAAAAATATCACTAAAAGCTTTTAGTTTACTTCTTCTGTCTTATGGCACTCAAAGGCCTATTTAAGAGTTAAGAGTAACCAAACAAAAATGTTTCAATTTTTCTAAAGGTCTGGTTAAAGATGATGCACCATACCAGCGATTTGATGCATAAACAGTTCAAGGCTTGCTTGGTTGTAACAGTTGAGCTTAAGATTTAAGGAAATTAAAAAAAGACAAACCATTTGGGAAAATTAAACAAAGTGAAATTACAGTTTATTGTGCTTGTGTGGTAAATATTGCTACTTGAATCATACTATGGGGCAAAATTAGGATGATTTTTTACTATTTAATAAATTTATAAGTAATTAAAATATGTTAAGTACTTATTAATATTCTAACTTTGAAATGAATCATGTTTGAATTAAAACAATATCATATTCAGATAGACAGCTAATGTGTGATTTTTGAGGACTTAAATATTATATATTTACTAATTTACTGAATTTGTATAGTTATTAATTTGGTTAGTATGCTGGATGTTAATTTTTTCGTAAATCTAGTATTGTTTTACATTTGATGCTAGTTATGTGGTATTTTCATAGTTATAAAATTAATTTTAATAATAATCAGCTAGTAATAGTGAAAGCTGTTCCTTAATTTGTTCTTCAAATTAAAATCTTATTTTATTTTTGTTGTAAGGTAGTGGTTTCTATACCAAACATTTGAAATTGTGTAATCATGTGCAGTTATTAGTGAAGAGATTTTATGTAGTTTGAAGAGACACATTATAAAATACTACTTTCAGGCCTATTTATAAACATTTTTAATTATAGTACTGTTTTGTGGCTTAATTGTTTTTCCAAAATAATTAGTCTTAACTTATACTTATACCAAATCAGTCACTGGCATCTAGTAGCTTCAATAAATCTGTATTATTTCTTAAATAGTAAAAAGTTTAAAAGATTAGCTCAAATATTTTCCATAATAAAGTGATTTGTGCCTTAAAATATTTGATTTCAGTATTGAAAATATTTTCCAGTGAAAATTATTATTCATATATCTAAGAGCTTTTTAACGTTGTATATAATCTATCATGAGTTTTTAAATCATCTTTTTTACTGCATGTTTAAGCTGCCATGCTTCATTAATATGCTTCTACTTGATAGTCATTACAGTCCAAATGAGTTTTCTTGAGAAACAAAATTTAATTAATCCAAATATAAACTGGTCTTCCAATATAGTACATTCCATAATTCTCATAGGCTACCTACTTTGATAAATGTGTTGAAACGTTCTTTAATTAGTTTACTAATGGTGGTCATTCAAGCACAACTGTCCGGTGTATGAGGCAAAAATAAACACATGCACATATTGGTTAAATGTTTGAATTTAAATTTTTAAATTTTTTTTTGTCCCTTTGATCATATTACATGTGTTTACAATAATTTAAAGTCTGTACCCTTCCAAAGGGACAACTTGTAATTAACTAAGCTAGTCACATACATTTGTATTAATTGTTAGCAGTCATATTTTGTTTGGTCAGGTAATGATGATGTAGAAGTATAAAACTGACTTTTAAGAAATCAGTTCCACCGAAGGTAACCATATTGTCTTGTGATTATGTTTTAGTGTAGAGAAATTCATGTTGTGATTTGAAAGTTAAAATAAATGCCTCATATTATCTCTTGTTTTTATCCATATATGCAACTAATTGTTTTTGTATTTGGTTTTAAAAAATTTTTAAACTTTAAAATTTTGTATATATTTACTTATCTGCAGTGCATAAAAAGCTTTAACCTTGTTTTATAGACTTGTTTCAAAGCTTTTGAACTAAAACATAATTTGAACTTCTTTTTCTAAAGTAAATTTTAAACCGAAGATTTTCTTGGTTATTATTTTTTATTTAATGACTTGGTAATTATAAGAAATATCTCAAATTATCTTAACTCAGATTATCTTATTCCAGAGTTATAATTGTCTGCCCCACAATGCACTTGACTAAGTGAAACTTTGTGCAAGAATTTCATAATTGTTTTCAGAAAGTAGATGAAAGATTGCATTTTTAAAAGGCACTAGCTTACTTTTGTATGTTTGATGTCAAGAAAATAATTCACTAATAATTGTTATTAGCAGTATACTATTATAGTTTAATTTGTATTTATGTGAGCATAATGTAGAGTTTTGTTATTAATACTTCTATTAGATAAACAAAACAAAAAAGGCCACCATATGCTTTAAAAACCCATTAAGTTTGACTTTGTGCTTGCCCCTTTTCACAACAAAAACAAGTTCCATTTTTTGGTTTGTGGCTCATTCTCAGCAACCTTGACCCATGTGCTGTTTGGTTGGCATGGTTATTCATTTTTCTTACAAGTTCAAATGTCTCTTACTTTTCCCTATTTTTTTTTTTGTAATATGTCATTATGTACTTGTAGTTGTTTTTTGTTTGTTTTATGTCAAAAAAAAGGCAGAAAGCCATTTTATTTTATATTCTGTAGCCTTAATATCGACATACTCTTTTTGTAAATGTATTATTGTATTGGCGAATATCTTTGAAACAGAGTCATTATGCTCAGTGTTTATTTTAGGCTTGAATTATTTTGATTTTCTTCAAATCTGGCCATGGGAAAGTTTTACAATTTTTAATCCCATTCAATACATACATGCAATACTTTATTGAAAAAATGTTTTTAGAACTTTTAATTTCTTGTTCAACTTTATGTGATTTAAAATTTAATGTAAGTACAAAAATTAATGTGAGTATATTGCTGATTCTTGTCATGATTCATGTTCACCCAATTGTTTTACATGTATATTCTGATCAAAATAATCTTTTTCAAACATAATAAATTTGATTGTTACAATGTGCTTGGTTCAGTCTATTTCAAGAACAGTGAGGCAAGAATGGTTTTAGCTAGAGTTGTAAACATCATAGCTTTAGCTTGAGGAGAATGTTATTATTGCTACAGCTAGAGGGGTTTTATATGGCTACAGCTAGAGAGGTAAATATTATGGCTTCAGCTAGAGGGAAAACACTAATGATGGCAATATGGGGTTAAAAGGAGTTTTGTATGGCTTAGACTGGAGGGGTAAACAAGTGATGATTGCTTCAGCTAGAGGGTCAACATAATTATGGCTTCAGCCAGAGGGGTAAAGAGGTGACGCTAGGGGGGGGGGGGGGTCAACAGAATGATGCCTTCAGCTAGTAGGGTAAACATGTAATGATGGCTTAAGCTAGAGAAGTAAACATGATAAAAAAATTTAAACCGTTAAGTCTGAAGTGGAAGTAACAAATCAACTTAGTATATATTATATAAGCAACTTATCTGTTCATTATTTTAACTCTGATACGTAATTATAATTTATTATTAAAACTGCAAGGCATAGGCTTATTATTAAAACTGCAAGGCTTAGTCACTAAGGCTATTGATAAAGGAACAAGAGAATTTAATAATTACATTTCGAAATTATGATAGGAAAAAAAATTGAATTTAAATTATTTCAAGCTGCGCCAGATTAAAATAAAACTGTTACCAAGTCACATCAATGAGATCTTACTGAGTCTTATAGAATAGAAAGCATTCAACTGGAAATACTAATTTAACTGCTTGTCATATCACTTGATTACAAATTAATGTAAAAACAAAGGAATCACAGACGAGAAAAAAATTGATTGACCCTGGGGCTCTTAATTACCCCAAGCCACGCAGAGTGATTGATCATTAATTATGACAGTGTAGAATTGCCGTGATTAAAATACTCTGGCATTTAAATTGCGACAGTTGGTTTATTAAAAGTTAATTAGGCATCGTCTTAATTAGCGCATTTCATGTGTCTCCAACATTCATGCATGTGGGCCTAAACAAAGAATTTAAAAAATTGAGTACTCATTTAGTCGAATCCGTGACTCGTAGTCCGAAATTCTCAAATTTGTGGTAATGCAATTGTAGCCTGAGAGTATCGAATCTGTGAAATGCAGCGAGAAAGTATCGAATATATGGCATGTAGCCTAGCCCAAACAAAAGTATCAAATCTGTATTCGAAAGTATCGAATCGGTGATATGTAGCCAGAAAGTATCGAATATGTAGCATGCACCCCGAATTTATCGAATCTGTGACATTTAGCATAGCCCAAACAAAATAATCAAATCTGTAACATAATTGTATTCGAAAGTATCGAATCTGTTACATGTAGCCTTGTATAGCATAGCCCAAACAAAATAATCAAATCGGTGACATAATTATAATAGTAAGTATCGAATCTGTTACATGTAGCCTTAAAATATCGAGTTCGTTGTGCGTCTCAAGGTAGGTCGTTAATGATGTGGCTAAAATTAAAAATACTACATTCGTCGTGGGTGCCTAGGATACGACCTTGAACATGGTGCAAACAGGGTTTCCTTCAGACATTTTTCTTGAAACTTCGGAAGGGAGGACACAAGTTAAAGTATATCTTTCTTATAATTTTTTTTTTTCATTTCGTCCGTGAGTTGTGGAAAGGGGGGGGGGGGGCAGTGACGTTCAAGCATGAATTAAAAGTGCAGAGTCGTTTGAAACAACTTGAGCTCCAAAACAATTGAAGAAAGAGCGGACAATCAAGATTCGGGTACAACAAAGTGGGTACCACAGGACTGGGAGCCTCAAAACAAATGAATAAACAGCGGACAATCAAGATTCGGGTACAACAAAGTGGGTAACCAGACATGGGAGCCTCCAAACAAATGAACAAACAGCGGGCATCCAAGATTCGGGTACAACAAAGTGGGTACCACATGACTGGGAGCCTCAAAACAAATGAATAAACAGCGGACAATCAAGATTCGGGTACAACAAAGTGGGTAACCAGACATGGGAGCCTCCAAACAAATGAACAAACAGCGGACAATCAAGATTCGGGTACAACAAAGTGGGTAACCCACACATGGGAGCCTCCAAACAAATGAACAAACAGCGGACAATCAACATTAGGGTACAACACGATAATGTGGGTACCACGGGTGCCGCGACATTGATGAATACAGTGAGAGGCGCCGTTTAACTGCGACACAGCGGCGCGGATCTCCTAGATCAGGGGTCGGCAACCTTTTTTTTTTACTCTAGAGCACATTCTAAAATATCGGTAGGGTGGCGGGCACCACCTGTTTTAAATCGACAAACTCCTTCCAGAGGCGTAGCGACCCTTCCCGTCACCCGGTGACAAATCTTTTGATTTGCACCCCCCCCCCCTAAAATTTTCGATTTGCACCTCCCACCCCCACCCCCCCCCCTTCAAATGTTCAATTTCCACCCCCTTCAGCCTTTCAATAATGTTTATGAAAACAATTCTGTCTCTGTCGAATAGTGAGAGGCGGGCACATACGAATCGTTCGGCGGGCGCCATGGCGCCCGCGGGCACAGGGTTGGGAACCCCTGTCCTAGATGAACCGGGTCAGATGTGTGCGTTTACTGGAAGAATAATGAACGTCGCGTCAAACAATTAAAACCAATACCTTTTCGAACGTGTGCGTTTATTGGAGGAATAATGGACGGCGCGTCAAACAATTAAAACCAATACCTTTTCGAGCATGCTGTAAACGTGTGCGTTCTAGATCTAGCTGTTATGCGGACAGAGAGAATATTTTTTAAAACAAGTTTACAAAAAAAAAAAATTGAAATACGGCATTGTATGAACCAGTAAGGACCTATAAAATTCGACATGAAAGGTAAGCTCGTGTTGTTGAATGTTGTAATAAGTGTAAGTCACGTTCTAATGGTATTTAACCCTGTTACTTTTGATACATAGTATAAGTAAAGGTAGGTCACCGACGACTGGACGTGGTTGTTTTCAGCGGGATAGACTTTAGACACATGAACTTGGTAACAGACCTAGCCTCCATTTAACATTTATTCTTATGTAGAAGATAGTTTCGGGCTGTTTACATTAGCAAACCGAATCTTAAAATGCAATTTTTAGCATTAGCTTTGCAACTAAAACTATTCCGACAAGTCTCTCTCCCAGTCGTCCCCCCCCCCCCCTAAAACCGTATAATATGCCCACATCATTTAGTAAAAGATCTTCCGAAGAGCCTGGTACGTCGGACTCCCAAGTCCCCTACATAACAGCGTGGGGGGGGGGGGGGGGGAGAGGTGCAAGACTGCCGGGAACCAAGAAGGGTTTTGCTCTCGACCCTAACCAGATATCTTGACTTTAAGCTGCGGCCTTCACGTGGCTTCGGAAGAGTGCCACTGGTAGGACCAAGCTCATGACCCCCCCCCCCCCCTAATGGGTGCGGAATGGCTAGTGGTAGCCAACAGCAGCTAGAGGTTTTTGATCTTGCCGAGTAGAACTGCTGTATGCGCTAGGTTCAAAGAATGGCCGAACGCCCCCCACAATCAAGCTGGGTACCAGGCGGTAGGACGACGTCACGCGTCTGGTGGGTGGGGAAGGAAAGCCCGGTGAGAGCCGACGGAAGTAGCGACCGTTGTGTGGGAAACTCTTGAGTCTTGTGGTCGGAGTTTGCTACACTGAGGCCTGCCTGGCTAATGGAAGTCAACCTTCTGAGCCGGTTTCCGCATAAGGAAGGAAGGAAAAGTAAAAGATCTAAAACATTGTACATATATCATAACATGATGAGGATGATTTCTTGTTTTGTTATAGATGGTATTGGTGGTGGTACAAATGTATGTGAGAAAACTGAGTGTGTTTTTATTAAGTGAAGTTTTTTTTTCTTTTTAGCCTAGTTTAGTTGTATACACAATATGGATGGGGGACACGACGCTGTATAATCAGAAAGGGGGGCGGGGGCTACGGAAATGCTATATAATATATATGTGTGTGTGTGTGCGCGCGCGTGCGTGCGTGCTTGCGTGCGTGTGGGGGGGGGGGGGGCTGGTATAGAAAACCTATCTAGGTTTTCCACGGTCATTGAGCGTTCACAGCTGAGGTTTGACCGCGATGGTCAGCATGATGGTCAGCAAAAGTTTAATGGCCTTTCCGGCACAAAGGCGGCAGCCCAAGCGCTGGTCGATCGTCTATTTAATTTTATGGGCGTAGATGCAACTAGCCCAACCTACGGACCAGCTGAGGCATGGCAGCAGGTGGTTTGGGAAAGGGGAAAGGGTGGTTGGACAGCCTATATAATAGCGCTCGGACTTAGACTAGGGGGGCTCACTCAAGATAGGACAACCGTTACTAAGTCACAAACGTACAAAAAAAATTTAGCTAGTTTGGAACATAAAATCATTTTATCTTCAAGAATTTGTGAAGCCGAAACTAGAACCTTGAAACTTTTTTTTTTGTGTACAATTCTCAAAATGTAAGTGTTAAATATATTTTTTATAAATACCTTATGTAAACGTAGGATTGTTGTTATTTAACCTTATTGAAAACCATAGTTGTATAGTGCAGGCTTTATTTATATATTAAGTATTAATTAAATCGACATGTCATTGTTTGTTTCAGTGTTAATTGTAGT